CTGTCGACGCGTGAGATAAGGAGGAAACTGTCAGAGCCAATAGCAGGCGAGGATAGCGGTGACGAGCCAATGAGATGTGCAAAGTGATTAGACTTCTGCGTAGCCAATAAGAAGTGTGCCTCAGTGTGACGGGAGGTGGGTATAAGAGCAGGGGCAGTGAGTCACGCGATGCTATCAGGCTTGAATCGGTTGGTGGGTCGCTTAGCGAAGAGGACAATGAGCGGCAGAGGCAAAGGAGGCAAATCACGGGCTAAAGCGAAGACGAGTTCGGCGCGAGCTGGTCTGCAGTTCCCTGTGGGTCGTGTGCACCGCCTGTTGCGTCGTGGCAACTACGCGGAGCGTGTGGGTGCTGGAGCACCAGTCTACTTGGCTGCTGTGCTCGAGTACCTGGCTGCCGTGGTGCTGCAGTTGGCGGGTAACGCGGCACGCGACAACAAGAAGACGCGTATCATTCCTCGTCACCTGCTATTGGTTGGCTATCCGCAATGAGGAGGAGTTGAACAAGCTGTTGGGCGGTGTGACCATCGCGCAGGGTGGTGTGCTGCCCAACATCCAGGCGGTGCTGCTGCCGAAGAAGACGGAGAGTTTGCAACCGTAAACGTGATAACGGCCCTGTTGAGGGCCACCCCTACCATTAACACAAAGATGATTGTTGTCCAGTTGATGTGGGTGGGCATGGACTAACGACTGACTGACCGGCTGAAAGTTGCGTGTTGGAAGCCTGTATTACTGCCTTGGGTATAGGGGCTGTAGGAATGGCCTTTGGTGCTGTGGTGTCATGCAGAATTAGGAATGAGTGGGTTTGAATGAAGTGCGATACTTTCGTTCCGTATCTTGCATGCGCTTGCACGTCTTATCCGCCAAGCGATGGTAGGGCGGGTGGTCATGGCAGAAGAGTTTTGCGCACTGTTTTCTACCCATCTCTGTCTCTCACTGGTCGAGTCGTGCTTGTGAGAAGTCAGTTGTACCTGCCTGCTCTAATCCTAATTTGTTAGAATTGTTTTTCTTCTTAGACAACTGGCTATGATGAAACTGCTTCCTTCGTTTGCCTTCCGTTGGTATTTCGTCACCTAGGATGGGTGTCGAT